AGGTACAGGAGGACTGACTCTGCCCCAGGTGTACGGGGGGGGAAAGCAAAGGAGCCTCCTGGAATTCCGAGCAGGAAACTGAACTTCAGAGAAGAAATTAAGCCAAACTCCCCGCGAGCCAAGACTAATTGCAGCAAAACACACCACAAATACCAGCTCTGGAGAGGGAGAAAAACCCCAGCACGAACATCAACCAGTGGCTTGGAGAGGAACCTCTGTGGGCACCTCCACGGCTGGACAGTGGGAATGGGCAGTGGGAGTGGACACTGGGAATGCTGGTGCTCTCCAAGGCATGTCCTACAGCTCATCTGGGAGCTGAGGCCACAGGCAAAGCTGGGCCAGGCTCAAACTCCAGCTGCACGTGGGTTAAGCCGGAACTTTTTGGATCTGGGCAAAGCCATTTGAAGAACTGGATAATGTGAAGAACTGAAGAATGTGAAGAACTGAAGAATGTGAAGAACTGAAGAATGTGAAGAACTGAGTGGAACCAAGAGACTCACTGAGGATTTCAAGCAGGAATCCACCAGCCAGACAAAAGCTGTGCTCTGAGCGCTGACTGAATCCATTTGATACCCAAAGGGCAGCAGAGTTGTAAACCTGCTTTTGGTTTAGTCTCTCTAAGCAGATTCCCACACACCTCAAGCCCAAACAGGAACCACTTCTGGCTCCCCAGGAAAACCCAGGCCGCTGGCTCAGCCCACCCCACTCACCCACGGTGCTCCAAGTCCCTTGGAGCCAAAACTGTGAAACCAGATCGCTTCAAATGGGGCAAAAATAATTAATGAATTACAGGAAGCAACAGGTCCCCAGTCCTGAAGGTCTGTCACAAAAAAGGTTATTTTCTCCCAGCATTTCCTCTCTGACTGCAGCACAGTTCGGAGCTGAATGACCAGGGGAAGAGCAGTTTTGGAAATCTGGCCTCAATTCTCAGTGCCAGGAACGTGAAAACAAACAAAAAAAAAAAAAAGAAGGAAAAAAAAAAGTCCCCAAGAAAGTCCAGAGGATAAATAAACCCAAACAGACACGCAGCAGCATCACATGTGATGCAGCAGAAAACGAGTCCAAAGCCAAATCCAAGCCAGAGATGCTTTGCTAACACACAAACCACACTGTGGGTGCAGAGCCTGTTGTGCTGAGCCCTTCCAAACACGGCCCCACGTGTCCCCACTGCCCCCCCTCAGCACAGCTCCCGTTCTTCCAGTTGCCTCATCCCTGGAACCACCATGAGCTGAGAGCAGCTCCCGGGGCTTCCAGGAGCATGGAAGGAGCATTTGTTTTCTTAGAAGGGTCTGGGTTGGAAGGGACCTTAAAGGTCATGTGGATCCAACCCCAAAGCCTCCCAGCCACCCCCCGCCCACCCGCTGGTGCTTCCTCTCTCCAACTTCCCCATCTCCCCAAACGGGAGAGGGAGATTCCCTGCCCGCCCCAGGCCACATCCCCAAACCCCCTTTTATCCATCCTGGAGTGTCCTCCTCACCCAGTGTCTTCTCTGGCAGGGCTCTGAGGGGCTTTGGAAGAGATGGGAATAAAGATGTAACCGAGAAGTTGGGATTTTTTTGAAGCCACATCCTTTTATTTTGGCCATGTCCCTCCACACCTCCCAGCCGTGCCACGGGGATCCCAACTGTGCCACAGGGATTGCAGAGTGCTTCCACAGGGACTCAGAGCTGCCACAGCCAACCAGCTCAGAGAGGAACCTGCACCTGCCAAGGTGGGCTCAGCAAGGCCTGTTCACCTCACACCTTCAGCTTACAGCAAATACACCAAGCCAGAGCACTAGGAGCCCTGGGAAATGCTGGAGAAGAATGGAAAACAAGGAACCTTGAGAAAGCAGAAATACAAGGAAGAATAAGTAGAAATTCCTGTCAGAAACAGCCCTCACCAGGGCAGAGCCAAGTCAGAGTGAAAGAGGAATTGCGAGAGGGAGGTTTAACACATTCCCAAAGTTTGTGTTCAGCTCTTCCTTCTCCTCATCCGAGGGGAGGGAGGGAAGATCCCAGTCTCCAGCGCTCTGATGCAAACCACGTCCAGCTCCGAGCTGTTCGGTGTCAGAAGGATATTGGCAAATTGGAAGGGATTCAGGAAAACATGGATAACAGCTGGAGGGATTGATTTCCAAGGGAAGATTAAACTATCTGGACACGCAGCTTGGCGGAGCAGGGAGGAGGGTGGACACGATCCCTGTGGACAGTTCCTCGCCAGGCAAGTGCCAGGGAGCAGGGGAAGGGTCCAGTGTCCCACAGCTCAAGATCACCAAGGGCTGGCACCCAACTACAGAAATCCAGGGCTGTGTGGTCTCCTAGCTCCTCAATTCCCAACCAACTTCCAGCATCAGGAATAAAACCCCCTTCTGAGAGAAGCCCTTCGTTACCAACCTGGTGGGTTGAGTTCACCCTCCACCTGCTGCTGGGTCTCCTGAGCCCTCCATCACTTCAGCCCCCCGGAGCATTTGGAGTTGGCAGCAGGACTCCCCCCCCTCCTGCCACAGGAGGTTGAATGTGAGCTCTGGCTTTAAGGAAATGAGGATGTCAACCCTCCTCGTTTTCCAAACGGGAATTTGGCTGCTCAACCCACCTCCCACACCTTCTCCTCCTCATTTAAACACTGGAGTTATTCTTAGTCTCCGCTGAGAAAACCCCAACGTGAAAACCCGTCCAACCAAGCCAGTGGTTGGAATGGCTGTGGATTCCTCCCTGGTGTTTTAGGGAGAACTAGAGAAGCCCTCTGGACCATCCCTGGGGGAAGAAAATCCCTGCCCAACAGGCACAGTGGAATGGGAAGTTCACTGCAGTTGGTGACACTTTTAAGTTGAACCAGAATATCCTTAGAGGGACCTGAGCAGGAAAAGGAGTGACACCTCCACAGGGACAACGATGGACTCGGGGAAGGGGCAGAAAGAGCAAAAGGGGGCAAGTTGAACAGAACGAGGAGTTTGCAGGGTCTCACAGGGCTTGTCTCACACCTGAGCCAGCCCATCCCTTCCTGAGGGGCTCCAAACCAGCGCTCCCAGCAGTGGGAAGTGACAGCTCCGAGCTGGAGCTGCTGAGAGGCAACAGATCCCACGGTGCCAGGTGAGCAGGGGCAGGAGAACCCTCCCCGATTCCACCAGATCACGGAGTCAGAGCCCTCAAAACCCCCCAGGGGGAATTAACCCCTGGCTCTGACTTCAGAAGAAAATTACTGAAACTCTCCAGTTGCTGCTGTTTGCATGTTCCTGCTGCTTCCTTCACTCACTGGGGGGGGAGTCACCGACCCCCCGGGACCTGAGAGCTCCCCACCTCGCCCCCATCCTCACGGGCACCTCCAACCACTCCACACCTGCTTCCCACAGGGAGCCCCCCACACACCGCCCTGGCCACCCCCCCAGCTGCCCCAGAGGAGTCACGGGCCACCACATTGTGCCCAGACCCCTCCTCACCCCGGAGGACCGAGTCCAACCCGAGGGGCTCCCCCAGGACCTCCCCCAAGGCTCCTCCAACCCCCCAGGACACCCCATGTCTCTCCAGGGCCCCCCAGGCCCTGCACACCGAAGGGTCTCCCATATCCAAAGACATCCCCCCCATTCCCTCTCAGCTTCCAAAGCGCCTCCATCCCCTCCCAGACCCTCAAGACCCCTCAGTGCCTCTCCAGGGCTCACTCCCACGATCCCCAAGACCCCTCTCTCTTTAAAGCCCCCTCACATTTGCAACCCTCCCCTCGCTCCCCCTATTCGCTACCCCTCATATTCCCCAGGGATCCCCACCAGCCTTGAGACACCCTCCCCCAGGCCCCCCAAAAGCCCCCCAATTCCGCAGTTCCCTTGCCGAGGCCCCCAGCCCTGAGCCCCCTCCAGACGCCCCCAATGCCGCTGACACCCCCAGACCCCCCTCAGATCCCCAATTCCGGGGTCCCCCCGGGGCCCCCCGCGCTCCCCCCGGCCCCGCCCGGGCCCCTCGCTGCTCCTCGGCCCCGCCCCGGGGGGCGGGGCATGACCGCCATTGGCCGCCGCGCCCGCCGCTCGGGAGCTGCGCGCGATCCGATTGGCCGGGGCGCGCTGTCAGTCAGCGCAGGGGGGCGGGGCGGGCGGAGCCGCTGCCGCACGAAAACTCGGGGAGAGTTGTGGGGGGGAGGGGCCGGCCGGGGGTCCCACCGCCCCCGGGGCTCCTCGGGGCTCCCCCCGCCACCGCCGCCACCGCCGCCGCCCCGGAGCGGCCCCGCCGCCGCCGCCGCCCCCGGTGCCGCCGTTACCTGAGGGAGCCGGGGCCGGGGCCTCGCGCTGGCGCCGCTCGCGCTGGGGCTCGCGCCGCCCCCCCCGCCGCGCCCCCCCCCCAGCGCCCCGCCCCGCGCGCGAGGCTCTCGCGAGACCCGCGGGGAGGTAACGGCGCCGTGGCCAATGGGAGGCCTCGGGGGCGGGGCCTCGCCTCGGAGGGGCGGAGACTGTCATAGCCAGTGGGCGTGGCCAACGAGAGGACCCGCCCAGAAAGTCCCGCCGTGCTGCGGGGACCGCGACACGTGGGGACCGGGGGACACCGAGGGACACCGCGACCCCCGGGACACCCCGAGCCCTGACACGGTCGGAACCGGCCCCCCGGGACACCCCAAACCCCGGACACGGGCGGGACCGGCCCCCCGGGACACGGGGACACCCCAAACCCCAGACACGGCCGGTAACGGCTCCCCAGGACGCCCCAAAACCTGGACACGTCCGGTAACGGCTCCCAGGGTCACCCCAAACCCCGGACACGGCCGGGAACGGCCCCCCGGGATACCCCGGGACCCCAAACCCTTCTCCTGGCCCCAGGCTGCCAGACACCTGGTCCCAGTTGAGGTGTCCCCACAGGGGGAATGTCCCTGCAGGGATGGACAGAGGTGACAGCCCGGGACAGCAGTGATGTCCCCTGTCCCCTGAGGGCTCTGGGTTGCACTGGGGCTCAGCCCCAGGCACCTGGGGGGACAAAGCCAGCCCAGTGCCAGCTGCACCAAGGGACACCGGACAGGGACACCAAGGAGACACGAGGAGCTGAGAGACCGTCATCAAACCGTCTTTATTCCCTGCCCGGCCATGGCAGGGCCAGGTCCTTCTCCTGCCCCACGACACTCCCGGCTGGGCGGGGGGCCGGGCACAAAGGGGCATCACTGTCACCACCGCCACCCCCCACCCCATCACATGGCGAAGAGGATGAGGAAGGCCACCATGAGGCAGAAGAGCCCCATGGCCTCGGAGAGGGCGAAGCCCAGGATGGCATAGGAGAAGAGCTGCTGCTTGAGCGAGGGGTTCCTGCAGGGAGGGGAGGAGCGGGGGGAGGTCAGGGGGGCACCGAGACCCCCCCGGCTGCCCCCTCATCGCCCCCGGAGCCCCCTGACCTGGCGTAGCCGATGATGAGGCTCCCGAACACGGTGCCAATGCCGGCGCCGGACCCGGCCACGCCCACGGTGGCAGCACCAGCCCCGATGAACTTGGCGGCCGTGTCGATGTCCCGGTGGGCAGCGCTCGTCCGGAGGGTCCGGGGGGCTCCCGCCTGCACCTGGGGGATGGAAGGGGGGGCAGGGGGGTTTAGCCTCACCCCAACCCCCTCTCGGGCCTTGGTTTCCCCCCAGGGTGCCCCAGAGTGGGAGGGAGTCATAGTCACTCCCCTGTGCCTTCCCAGGGCACTGAGCACCCCCAGACCCTCCCCATGTACCCCAGAGAGGGTGGGGGGCACAGCCACCTCCCTGTGCTTTCCCAGGGCACTGAGCACCCCCAGCCACCCCCGTGCCCCCCAGCCCAGGTGTGTTACCTGCTCTGGCCGGGCCTCGGGGCTGCTCAGCACCACAGATGAGAGGGGTTGGCCCAGCACCCTCGAGCTCCTCCTCACCTGCAGGGCACACAAACCCCTCAAGTTCTGGGGGGGACACCCACCCTCCACCCCCCAGGGCACTAAAAACACTTGGGGGTTTCCCCCACACCGAGGCCACCGCTGCCACTTCTGGTATCCCCTGAACACGCTCAGCCCCTCGGCAGCACCCAGATGGGGGGGGAGATGTCCTGACACCCACCACTTCAGGGGACCTCCCGAGCCCCCCTCACCTGCCAGGGCCCAGCCTGGGCACATCACTGCCAGCACCGTGTCCCCCTCAGTGACCCCAAGGGGTGGCAAAGGACCCGTCACCCAAGTGGCCAAGCCCCTGGGCACCGCTCACCTACCAGGGCTCAAACCTGGACAGATTGTCCCCAAAAACCTCCCTGTGTACCCAGGAGTTGGGGGGGAGGTCACACATCACCCAGCAAGGGGGTCACACATCACCCAGCCCCCCCCAGAGGGAGGGGCTGTCACTACTCACGAGCGCGGGAGCTGAGACGAACTTTGCACAGGTGAACATGGCGAGGGCACAGGGGGCACGTGTGGGGCACGGCTGGAAGGGACACACGTGAGGCTGGAGAGGACACAAGCAGCGGGGGTCCGGCCCCAGGGGTGACCTCGGGCCAGGGGGTCACACAGGGCACACACAGTGGTGGGGGAAGAGAAGTGTCACTGTCACCCAAGTGACAGCTCCCAGCAGTGGCACCGTGGTGGCTGTTTGGGGACAGGGATTTGAGAGTTGCTCCGTTGCAAGTCCTGGGGGTGTCACTCCCCGTGTGTGGAGGGGAGGACAGGAGCTCCCGAGCAGACCCTGGTCACCCCCCAGCCAGGAGGGTCCTGGGCACAGTGAGAGACTGGGACTGCTCAGAGCACCTGCTGAGCCTTGGGGGGGCACGGCCTGGGGACCCCCAGCCCTGGCAGGGGACGTGGGGGCCGGGGAAGGAAAGACCCCCCAAACACAGGGAGTCCCCCACAGTTCAGCGGGTGAGGGGCTGCCCCAGCTGGTTCCTTTTGGGGAGGGGGGACCGGCCCCGTCCCCACCCACAGTGTAGGGAGGCTCTATTTGCCTCCCGTCACGAAGGGCTCCGGACCCCCCTTGCAGCCCCCCCCGGGGTCTGTCCCCCCCAAGGGCTCTATCCCCTCCAATCCTCCCTGTCCCATCTCCACGAGTCCCTTCCTCCCCAGCCTCTCCCTGTCCCCCTCAGCCCTCCCCGTTCCCTCCCGGTCCCTCCCGGTCTCTCCCCTCACCGGGCTCCGCCGGGCAGGTCGCGGCGGTTCCCCGTGCGCAGGCGCGGCCGGAAGTGACGCAGGGAGGCCGCTGTTGCCGCG